AGTGAGGCGTTGTAAGTCCCAAGCGGCTCTACTCCGAGTTGGGTGACGTGCGAAGCTGCGTTGAGTTGTGTTGTATTGTTGTGGTGTTGTCCTATATGTAGGAACGTCTGTGTGTGCGTGGGTGTCAGCACAAGGCTTGCTGTTACCTTATCGGCGGGTAGACCGTCGATGTCAGCTGAGTCACCTTTGTGGGCCATAAATTGTATGTGTAGTGGCGGCAGGACGAGTCTTGGGAACGAGGGCCTGACTGTGAGCTGTATAGTCAAATGGGTCGCGGTTGTGTGGAGTGATTTGAGTGCAAGGAAAAAAAATAGTTCTCATGGTCCAGCGAGTGGCGATGACCTGTACAATCATGTATGTGGCAAAAGGGTAGCTACAAGGCCTCCGGTGTAATCCCTTCCGGTTTACTGAGGATACACTTCTCCGGCTTCATCAAAGGCATACATTAACAAACCATGGAGCGACACGGGGAACTGGGTTTGCTGAAGTAAGATTTCCCTCAAAAGTTGTTGCGGTCGCGGTCCGACTACTTGCCCCCCCCCCCCCGCCAAGTTAGTTGTCACCACCAATTCGAAACCAGTCGTCTTGGCAAGTGCCTCTCAAAACAAGACCAAATTGTGTCCAATAGATACGATTATGTGGAAAACGAGTTGCTCTTATCTGTCATCACGCTTCAACTGGAATTGCCCAGAATGGGTCTATGGCACGCTAGCCGTCCACGCCATTGGTCTAAAAATTATCCACTCAGGTTCCAGTACGCAGCTGACTTGTATTGCAGTATACATGTCATGTATAACAGTTATAACAAGCAATAAAACTCAGGAGGTTGTTTCACTGGGAAACAGTGTAGATGATTGGAGTGGGTGAAAAAGGCGAATCAGTTACGGTTGTCGGCAAAAACAATTTCCAAACAACATCAAAAATGTCACCGGGACGCAATGAAAGGGTGACACAACCAACATCCTATTTGTCGACGATATCGCTGATAATTCGACTGATTTTTCACACTTCTGGGCGAATTGACTGAGCTGTATTTGTTGAAGCATTTCGCTTTTATTGATAAAATCTTGACACTTGAAAGAACTTCTTATCCAGCACCTTCCGAAAAAAGCTATATTGTAAAGAGGTCACATTCGTTTGTGCGCTTGCTGTAAGGAACTAATAACGCCGTGTGGTAGGTGTTTAGGGACGATATCGCTTTTACCTTTCTGTAGCAGGCAGCTTAGATACAATAGCACGAAAGGTATCTTCCACCCAATCTCAGCTTGCTGACGTGTGAAGATGAGCTGGCTTCCTGGATGCCTCGGGTTGCAACCGTCCAAGCACAAAATATTGCATGGTGACTGTAAAGAAAATCGGTTCACCCACATGAAGACCACTCCTTCCGACCAAGGATTACTTTATGGATCTTGGAAGAATGCTCTTCATAAGGGTGAGGAAACTTTAGCTCCAATAAACGTTTCCACCATGAATATGGATGAGTATGCTCTTGTGTTGAAGAGTATATTCATACCGTGGCCAGTCACTGCTTGGTGACCCCCCTTGTTATTCCCAGGTATCCAAAAAGAGATAAATAACTTGAAAATGTTTGTTATTCGCCTGCTGTGCTGAGTCACTGTACTCCCATGGAACCAAAAAAGCACTATACCATGCCGAAATCCTAGTGTAACTCGTGCTAGGACTTCAGAGGACGACATTTTCTTCATTTTTGTGCACATGAAACTTCAGTCGTTTAATCGCTATACCGAACGGTACACAATGGTCAGAAGACTACCGGGTTGCGGAAACCCAGTTAGGATTGATAGAAAGGCAAGGATGGACATGAATCCTCTTCTGAGCTTACGTGCGGTCAATTCAGGCGTTTACCTCGAGGATGAGCCAGGATGTCTTGACTGTGGTTTGTTCTATATGAAGTTGACTATCAACCATACAGTGATGTGCTCTGCCACGTGAATGTCCTCCTTTTGGAACGAAACCCCAAAAGCGCGATCAGGGATCTCTCAACTGGTCGCTACTCAAAGGCATAGCTTATCTGTTATTCAGAGACACGGCACATCGGTTTTCATTGTTTTGTTAGACCTATTTTATTGTTCTTCACTGGTCTCCCTTCTACTTTGCCTCTTCGCCTGCTGACTGTGACAAAACAAGTATTTTCCTCATGATCTCTCCGTATTTATGGAATTGTTTGTCACTATTCCGAAGGGTCGACCGAGTCTTCGAATTAATGGATTGTTGTAGCACTTCATCGCAATGTCTCCGATCATTCATTTCCAGGGCTATCGGAAAATAAATACGAATCCAAATGCACCATGTGATCTCACTGTATCCACTGTCCAAGAGAAGGTACCTCCAAAAGACGATGAAGTAAGTAGTAATGCTCTGCCTACTGAAAAAATATTTGGAGCTTGTAGTCGCTTTAAAACAACCGCGGCCTTCAGCTTTTCATGGCACGCCTACGTGCCAGTTGAGATGATTGACCACAAAGTACAAACGATCGACCACGTACACATGACCGATCCTCCTGTGTCCACCCGATAACCTTTAGCCAGAGCACGGCATGTTAGTTGACCGAGCCTTTCCGGAGCCGTCCGATTGAGAACATCTGTATTTTGAGCCAAATTTGCGGAATGGGTTGGCAGTCTAGCTTTTTGCTTCACGTTTGTGCCTCCGTTTCCAGTATTGCGCGCATGCGAATTCAAGTCAGTGGAGATGGGCTGTTTCGGCTGCCTGATAGATTTCAATGAATTGCGTCGTGAAACTTAAGTGTTGTTTATTTTCACTATTAGATGTAACACCAGTAGTTTGGAACATCGCTTACCGTACTTGTCCATGGTGTTTTACCGTAACAAGCTCCACGAGGTCCTTCATTATACTTGATATGTTGCTCAGATTGACCACTACAGACTGCTACAGACTGTACTACAGACTGCTGTGATGTTACACTTGTATCGTTTGCAGGTAGCGATCCAACTCTACAGTCAGGGCTAGTTGGCTTAGTTTCATAGAGTGCGTTTTCACAGAAACGATTTTGTACTAATCGGTTGTTCTGACCAACTCAACACGACCCAGTAAGGGAAGCCTCCCACCCCTGGGGACTACTCTGCAGAGCTGTAGATAACTGTGCTATTTAACAACTGGAAATCTGCAGTCACGCAACCATTATGTGATCAATTTTTGCCGCACATTCTTATGACTGCAAACGGTGGATTTTCTCATACACATATATCCTCTTGTAGAGAGTTTAGAGTGCTCTTCAAAACCAATAGAGATAACAACCTATTTCGAGAGTTCAGGCAACAGCTTGTGAAGAGTGGTGATGATATTTTCACCGGACCTTATAAGAAGATCAACATATTCCCCTGGTCACCTTTGCCGGGCTTGTTCGATTTTGGCGTCGCGAGGTTTATACTGAGAAGAGCTTGAACTGCTCTGTACTCGTCCCGAAAGGTGCAAAGCTGCAATCGCATGTTTTTTCGATAAGTCATCGTATAGAGTGGAATGACAAGACTTGCTTAAAGAAATATGGTTGTGTGGAACGTTTTTCACAAATTTCGCGTTACGAACTCAGTGCTGACAAACAATGAATGCCACCTTGGTTGAATTCAGTTCAGTTCACTTCATGGACCGTGCACCAAAGTGCGGTGGTTCCAGCTGCTACAGCTTCATTCACCGAGGATAGGGAGGAAATTGGGAAAGGAGAGCCACGCGTTGGATACGATCGCCCAGACTATGCACTGGCGACAAGCAGATCGGTCTATTCAGAATGGCAGAACGCTTTGAAGGCGATAGCTTTGATGCGAAAGGACCATTGGCTACGTGACACGGTCATATCTATCAGGGACACTACCCATTGGTTTATCTCGTCCCGTTTTCTCTCTATGGAGAGACGAAAGTTAAGAACGTGACTGAGTAAGGGCTTGAGTGAAGCTTTCGTAGAACCGGTTCCACGAAAGTCTCCCCACGTAAGCGGTTGGTTACGTAAGTCCCAGTAAAACACGCTCTTGAGCAAACCGTCATACTTCGCTTCATTGTCCTTTAACAACTGTCTTAGGTTGTTGGCTCTATGTGTAAACACCTTGTGCAACTCTTCGAGGACATCAACTGTTCATTGATTGTAGTTGAATGATGTGGCATGTATTTGCATGTATATTTGGAGCCTTAACTATGGGGAGTTTTTGTTACGAGATCCGTAATTTTCTCCTCATTTCCAGTTACTTGTCATCGTTCGAACTCCCAAAATCGACGTCTCTTCATTATGCACCTGAATACATTCTTCCTTAACACATTTCCAGGAGACGGTCGTAAAATCTACTTGCATATTATTGACCAATTAATGTATCAGGTTTATTCAGAGCAAAATTGAGATTCGGGACAAGTTCTGGAACGTCTCATGGATGCTTAGATTGTTCTCTTCGTCATTGGTGTTACAGTTAGTGCTGATAGTAATAATAATGATAATAATAATAATAATGATAATAATAATAATAATAATAATAATGGTGAAGTTTGACTCATCCAGAAGTGGAAATAGGATTGCTGACACACAACCCACCTCTCTACTATGTTAATGAATATCCCTAGGGTTATTTCCAGTCAACTTGAAAAAGCTTGGGATTGCTTGGGAAGTTATCGTTTCAGAAGGGTTTGGTAAGTAGTCAGTGGATTTATAGCTGGGCAACGTTTCGCTTTTGACGAAAAATGCCTCATTAGGACAAGGTAGCAGGTCACTAGATTGGCCGAGTTTCAGGGTCGGATAGCCTGTCAGCAAGGTCTCCGACTAACACGCTAGGTCAGTGTTTAGTGTCGAATAAACTGTGTCGGTTAGTACGGGTGTCTGAGTCCAATGACCCGTTAGTCGAGATTGATTCAGAAGCATTTTGGATAGGTTTAGGTCCTTGATCATCTGACTCAGGACGCTTCAGTTGATGATTTCTCTTAGGTGCCGTTTGGAAATTTTGTTGATCTGTGTGGGTTCATGGGTACTACAGTAATTTGGTCAGAATGGGTGAGATTACGGGGGGCTGTGTGCTTCAGGCCTAAACCACTTCTAATAGCTCCTCTTCACTGTCTTAAAACCCGATCTGTCTAGTGACGTATTCATTTGACCTGAAGAAGCTTCCGTGCCAAAAGCGAAACATTAGCCCTACTGACCGTTAAAAAAAATTTCGAAACAAAGATTTCCCGGTTACTTCAAACGCGCAAGCATTCGTCTGGAGGCCCTCTAGAAACATCCAGTACCAAACCTCTACAAAAAATTAACTCAACTCACCATCGCTGATCATTTCGTGCTGATCTTCCCGCATTGCGTCCGTCTCCCCGTAATCGAGACCAATAGGTCACCAGTTTTTACTCTCATTGTAGAAGTATCAATGAACGGCGACCCGCAGCAAACACGAATCAGTCACACTGTTCTTCAGGAGCGTCGATTTCTTGGTAATCCTGGTGACTCCTCACGCTGAAAGTCGACTTGGGCTCCTTTGACACCAAAAACACGATTTAATCCAGTAAATGCAGTCTAACTGAGCGGTGAGTCTACCGGGTTCACGTGCGTTCAGATTCGAGTGGATAGTCGTCTGTTCACCCTAAATTTCTGGAAGGACGCTACATTCGAACGATGCACTCAATTCGCATCATTTTGGTTACAAGATTGGGAATATCGTGGGCTATAAAGCCAGTGAAACATGATTTGATACCTAAAATGTTACGAACTGTGCTCGCGGTCATCATGGACGGGATGATCAATCGTTGGCATACCCATCATGAGCTTCCTTTCACCAATGACTCCCCATACAACAGACCCTTTGAGTTGGTTCCTCCAGGGCTGGATAAGTGCATTCGTTTTGTAGGCATGACATAGGCTCTGATTGAAAATACACCAAGTTTTATCGAGACTGACCAACGAATTGGCTGTATATCCAGTAACGATGAACCTCGAACATCCGACGTTTTCACAAGTGGAGAGACATTGTTGAACCAAGAACGCTGCGCATCTGATAATGTAGTGCTATAAAGTGCTACAAAATAGCACTAAGCTGAACGTCTTTCATGATTGCCCTTTTGGTGCTGAGTTTGTTCACGAAATAGACAGATAGGTTCTGTAGAAATCCGAGTGATCTCCCCGGGTTTTATTTCACATCACACTTGGAAGGCAATTAGTGACAGCATGGAAGTGGAGGTAGGTTAAGGGGAAAAATCTGGTGGCATTGAACGAGTAGGTGCATTTTCTCGGAACTCAGACGTAACTAGATGGTATCTACTCGTGATTTTACTGTTGCCGACAATCAAACCTTTAAAATCATCCAGCTTTTTGGGTAGACGATATCCCCTTGAGCCAGTACTTAGGGGGAAGGACAATCATCTCTAGTTGTCCTGCACGATTACAGGCCATCCGATGTAAGTGAATGCCGCCCACCAGAAAATGTACCCCATAGGAAGGCGGGTCAGTTGTCAGAGGTTCCAACTTACCCGGATCGATGCCGTCAATCCATAATTATGGAGCTAACTGGTGACAACCTAATCATGTTTTTTTCTTTTCCACAAACGTAACGAAAAAGTCCACGATTGAACCTCTCTCTTCTTGTTACTTCCAAGGACAGGGTGAAAACAGATTCTTCTGGCCTCAGGAAGAAACAAAAACCCAAATTCTATCCATTGTTCACCGAAGGGGCTCGTGGCGATCATCTCGTTTCCCTGCTGCCTGGGCGTCATCCTTGTCAATGTCTTGCTACCAAACACCAACTTGTGAGTAATTGCACCAGTTGTGGTCGCATCGTCTGTGCACAGGAAGGTTCCGGCCCCTGCTTTTTTTGTGGCAATCTTGTTTGCTCTAAGGAAGAGCGGGATAAAATTGCTTTGGGCACCAAGCAGGCAGTGAAGCTGAAAAATCGCCTTTTGCATGCCCCATGGGCACCGGGTACCCAAACTCCTCCTTATCGCCGTAAATCCTGCGCCAAGCGGGCGAACGCAGTCGACGTTCCAGGATCCTACGATGATGAGAACTCTCAGGAGGAAGACGAAGACTGGGACCTTATCNCCTCTCTACTATGTTAATGAATATCCCTAGGGTTATTTCCAGTCAACTTGAAAAAGCTTGGGATTGCTTGGGAAGTTATCGTTTCAGAAGGGTTTGGTAAGTAGTCAGTGGATTTATAGCTGGGCAACGTTTCGCTTTTGACGAAAAATGCCTCATTAGGACAAGGTAGCAGGTCACTAGATTGGCCGAGTTTCAGGGTCGGATAGCCTGTCAGCAAGGTCTCCGACTAACACGCTAGGTCAGTGTTTAGTGTCGAATAAACTGTGTCGGTTAGTACGGGTGTCTGAGTCCAATGACCCGTTAGTCGAGATTGATTCAGAAGCATTTTGGATAGGTTTAGGTCCTTGATCATCTGACTCAGGACGCTTCAGTTGATGATTTCTCTTAGGTGCCGTTTGGAAATTTTGTTGATCTGTGTGGGTTCATGGGTACTACAGTAATTTGGTCAGAATGGGTGAGATTACGGGGGGCTGTGTGCTTCAGGCCTAAACCACTTCTAATAGCTCCTCTTCACTGTCTTAAAACCCGATCTGTCTAGTGACGTATTCATTTGACCTGAAGAAGCTTCCGTGCCAAAAGCGAAACATTAGCCCTACTGACCGTTAAAAAAAATTTCGTTTCGAAACATTCCCGGTTACTTCAAACGCGCAAGCATTCGTCTGGAGGCCCTCTAGAAACATCCAGTACCAAACCTCTACAAAAAATTAACTCAACTCACCATCGCTGATCATTTCGTGCTGATCTTCCCGCATTGCGTCCGTCTCCCCGTAATCGAGACCAATAGGTCACCAGTTTTTACTCTCATTGTAGAAGTATCAATGAACGGCGACCCGCAGCAAACACGAATCAGTCACACTGTTCTTCAGGAGCGTCGATTTCTTGGTAATCCTGGTGACTCCTCACGCTGAAAGTCGACTTGGGCTCCTTTGACACCAAAAACACGATTTAATCCAGTAAATGCAGTCTAACTGAGCGATGAGTTCACGTGCGTTCAGATTCGAGTGGATAGTCGTCTGTTCACCCTAAATTTCTGGAAGGACGCTACATTCGAACGATGCACTCAATTCGCATCATTTTGGTTACAAGATTGGGAATATCGTGGGCTATAAAGCCAGTGAAACATGATTTGATACCTAAAATGTTACGAACTGTGCTCGCGGTCATCATGGACGGGATGATCAATCGTTGGCATACCCATCATGAGCTTCCTTTCACCAATGACTCCCCATACAACAGACCCTTTGAGTTGGTTCCTCCAGGGCTGGATAAGTGCATTCGTTTTGTAGGCATGACATAGGCTCTGATTGAAAATACACCAAGTTTTATCGAGACTGACCAACGAATTGGCTGTATATCCAGTAACGATGAACCTCGAACATCCGACGTTTTCACAAGTGGAGAGACATTGTTGAACCAAGAACGCTGCGCATCTGATAATGTAGTGCTATAAAGTGCTACAAAATAGCACTAAGCTGAACGTCTTTCATGATTGCCCTTTTGGTGCTGAGTTTGTTCACGAAATAGACAGATAGGTTCTGTAGAAATCCGAGTGATCTCCCCGGGTTTTATTTCACATCACACTTGGAAGGCAATTAGTGACAGCATGGAAGTGGAGGTAGGTTAAGGGGAAAAATCTGGTGGCATTGAACGAGTAGGTGCATTTTCTCGGAACTCAGACGTAACTAGATGGTATCTACTCGTGATTTTACTGTTGCCGACAATCAAACCTTTAAAATCATCCAGCTTTTTGGGTAGACGATATCCCCTTGAGCCAGTACTTAGGGGGAAGGACAATCATCTCTAGTTGTCCTGCACGATTACAGGCCATCCGATGTAAGTGAATGCCGCCCACCAGAAAATGTACCCCATAGGAAGGCGGGTCAGTTGTCAGAGGTTCCAACTTACCCGGATCGATGCCGTCAATCCATAATTATGGAGCTAACTGGTGACAACCTAATCATGTTTTTTTCTTTTCCACAAACGTAACGAAAAAGTCCACGATTGAACCTCTCTCTTCTTGTTACTTCCAAGGACAGGGTGAAAACAGATTCTTCTGGCCTCAGGAAGAAACAAAAACCCAAATTCTATCCATTGTTCACCGAAGGGGCTCGTGGCGATCATCTCGTTTCCCTGCTGCCTGGGCGTCATCCTTGTCAATGTCTTGCTACCAAACACCAACTTGTGAGTAATTGCACCAGTTGTGGTCGCATCGTCTGTGCACAGGAAGGTTCCGGCCCCTGCTTTTTTTGTGGCAAACTTGTTTGCTCTAAGGAAGAGCGGGATAAAATTGCTTTGGGCACCAAGCAGGCAGTGAAGCTGAAAAATCGCCTTTTGCATGCCCCATGGGCACCGGGTACCCAAACTCCTCCTTATCGCCGTAAATCCTGCGCCAAGCGGGCGAACGCAGTCGACGTTCCAGGATCCTACGATGATGAGAACTCTCAGGAGGAAGACGAAGACTGGGACCTTATCCAGGTGCATACTGTGAAGGAGGACGCACAGCAACGGTTGGAAGAAGGCAAGTACAGTCTGCTTGTGACCTAGCCATGTGGCTCAGTGTCTGTCAGTAGCGCTGCTGTGCTTGGGCTTGTTGTCCTCATGCAACACCATCTGTTCTGCCCCTTCCGCTATGAAAATAATTATGCAGTGTACATTTTATGACCCATTTGTCACAACATTACACCGGTATATATTGTTCCGGACATGTTTTTTCACATGCAAAATCACTGGCTACAAAAGATGAAAGAAAGAAAAGCTTTCTGCAGAGAAGTTTTGATAGGATCACGCGAACTGAAGCGGTACATTTAAAGTAGGAATGTTTTCCCTTGTCTTGTTTGAGTAAAAGTGAATCACTGGGTCCAACAACCAGTAAATATACCCTAGTTTTTAGATAACATTAGGAAGTTAGTGGTTGGTATCTCCCTCGGGTTTTGTGACATGACAAGTACTGATGGCTTATAACAATAATGAAACGCCCTGACAGTAGTTCTCGCATTTTATAGTTTGACTTTGCTGTGCAAGATGAAATGCACAACTGATACATCTTGTTTGAGTAAGAAGTACTGTCTGATTGTATGCATCTTGACGTTAAAGAGCTGAAGGCGAACCCTAGTCAATGGCACTCATGTTGCTTGACTGAACGTAGGGTCCTCGAATATCCCTGATAGGCCAACGCTAGGTCCTTTCCCTTCTATTTCTTTCTTTACTCACTAATTAGTTACTGTGGCTACGTGGTAGTAAAGTGCTGGTATTCAGCACTGATGATCATTGAAAACAGTGATTTTCACAGTTCCCCAGACTGTTGATAAGTTTGAGCGTCCTCTTTCCAACTCTGGTCACATCGCCTTCGCGGTCAGTGCAAAGGAGATAGGCGCTGTGAGGTGCTAAATGCTGCGAGTTACAGAGCTAGTTAATTAGTCGGACCATTCAAACTTTTCCGCCAATAAAGGTAGTCTCTCAAGGAAAAATGAGGGGAATTAAAACCTAGCCAACGTGATCGGTGGGATTGAGGTCATGCACATTGATTTTCGGATTTGGGTGGATGATATCCTGTGGTTCATTTGTCGTGCCTGACCTGGTGATGCTAGCTGAACTAAACGGCCGATAACCGGACTTTGTCAGACCTGTTGACACGTGACGTGGTTATGTGGATCTTACAACAGCAGTTTGCATGTATGCCAAAATTTTCTCGTAGCATATGCACGCCATCAAATTTCACCTGATGATTCTCAACTGGTAAGTGGAGTGCTATGACAGTCCTATCGGTTGTTGGCCTGTTCTCCGGTCTCGGCAGTTGGATTGCAAACGTTTCATCACCAATCGAGGTGACATCGTCAGTGCGGCGCTGAGTGGGTCCCATCCAAGTTGCGTTAGCTCGCTAAACGTTCCCACATTGACCCGAGGGTGCCGCTTATATTGATTAACTCGAATCTTCGGTTGCCTACTTGTTTGTCTCATGTATAACCTGTCGCACTGAGTGCAGTCGGTTTTGTAGATGACAGACATATGGTCGTCATGTTTGATCGGATCCTTTGCCATATGCGAAGTGTGTTGTCTATGCGGAACCTGGTTCGGACATTAAGTTCTGTCGTCCATTTTGGTTAGGTCTTAATTTCCTGTCATCGCTCCTTGACAGAGACTCTCCTTAGTGGTGGAAAAGTGTAGACCAATGAATTCGCTCGGCAACCTCCACTAGTTTCATTATACTGGTCGGTCTATATAAGTCAGTCGAAGGTTTTCCCCAATCACGTCCCTCCAAGTCACTTCCCTGTAGGAATTCTTGGAACAGGGAAGTGAACCTTGTTCATCCTTCCTCCATGAATTTAGAAGGCGAACGTCATTGAACATGTACTGGAATCCCAGCCTGCTTAACGCTTATGGTGCTCCTGTATATTCTGTGCTCTCACGTAACTTTCGTAACGCTGTATCACGTTTGCCGCTGGAGTGCATAGGCTATAAATACTCATCCGCCGGCAAAGTTGCCATGATAATTCCTGGGTGCCGGCACCTAGTTTTAGAAAACTTATCAGCTTAAAGATGGGCATTCCTTTTCGATTGAAGTTGCCGGATTTTGACCAACCTTTTCTTTCGATATGAACAGTTTCATTACCTACGTGATCAGTCGTACTTAATGGAAGATGTGAGCACCTACATCAGTTTGAACACCGAGCTTTGGCTTCACGTTTGTAGGTCTGGCAGCAGCTTTGGCTAACCGTGACCGCCTACTGGAATACGATGTTACAACCGCTCGCCGAACACGTGTACTGGATGACGAGATGGACTACTTCGTATCCGAGGGTAGTGGTGGCGCCGCTGCTTGGCTCAGCCCCGAAGCGCGTGAACGGGTTGCGAAACGTTTAGCTGAGCTCCGCGCACTTCGCCACGCATCCAGACTTCAGGGAACGCACTTATGTATAGACTTTGCCGGACGGTCAGTGGAGATTGTGGTAAGTACGTCGTATGACATCGACTTACCACCAGGTCCGTGAATTGGGTAGGGTAGCTCAGTGGTTTGCGGTAGGAACTCTGACTCTGGGTCCTGTTGCACTCTGTTCGGAAGCTTCACTTCAGTCTATGATGAGCTTTATATCCTATTTTTTTGCACGTTATTATGTACAGCTTATTATTATTATTATTATTATTATTATCGTACGGTTGAATTTGTGGTACGTTAGCTGCCGTCAAAAAGTCGGATTTTGTCGAGCATGAGGTTGCCAAGACCAATCAGCTGTTTTTGGCTACTACATCATCGATCCATGTATGGATAGGTCCAGTATGCAAAGCGCTACAATAGCGCACAACTACCACTACCTATTCGTGGTATAAACATGGTAACCGACATCATAACGCTGTTTACGCTTGGACAACCTGGCAGTATCCCAGTCCTCGTGCTTCTTTCGGGTGGCATACCAGGTAGGCACCGAAAGGATGTTGCAGCTGAACCATATTTGTTTATTAATTATCGTATCACGATTACTAGGTATATCACTGCTCCTCGTTGAGTGAGTTTTCCTCTTTGTCGGATGTCTATTTGTTGAATTTTGTTTCCCATAAAACCTTCTTCCTCAGGACACAAGAGATGAAGCAGCCAGGCAATTGTACCGACCGAATCAAGAGGAAATCGATCAGTTAGAGGCATCTCTTCGGGACAAAGAATCGAACGACTTAAATAAAGGTTCTGCTTCATCTCAAGCGGTCGCGGGTCGGATGATTGATCCAACTTTGAACGATCAGTTCTTACAGGTAACCATTTGTTTCTTTTTGTGGCTAAGCTTGTTAAGTTATGATCAGCTTTCAACGAGATAGGCGAGATGGCTCAGTGGTTACAGCGCGAATTTACTGACCAGAAGGTCCGTGGTCCGAACCCGATCTCTGCCTCTCGACTTCCCCTGTCTAGGCTTGGGGAACCTGGCGGTATCCCGGCCCTCGTGCTTCTTTTTCAGTCGAGCTTTCGTCCCATTGGCGAAGTTGATCAATACCGAAAAGCCGAGAAGTAGTGCACAGCTGCTTCCTCTTTATTAAGAATAATCAAGAGTGCACGTCTAACGAAACTTCAGGGAGACCGCCCGGCTGATGATCCCGAATAGGGTGAAACAGCTGTACGGTGCTTCTCGGCGCTTTGGCATAGGTTGGCTCCACTTAAAGGACAAAATCTGGGTTTCAAATTTCCAAATTTGAAACAATCGAGAAGCCAGTCAACACATTACCGCTTAATGCGGATTCCGTGACTGAAGGACCAGTGGCACTATACCCCATCTGAGTGCGAGTTAATCGCAGTGCTGATGAGCTGCTTGTGACGTTCATTGTTCAAACTACTTGTCAGAAGATCGCTGATTCAAAACTCTGCTGGAGTTTCGTGAGACACGTGCTTTTGATGATTTTCAGTAGGGACGAAATAGGTGTACGTTGCTTCTCGGCTGTTCGGCATAGGTCGAATTCATCTATAGGGCAAAATCTCGACTAGAAATTTCAAAATATCATACTATCCTGTGCTTCTCTCCCAAGAGGGCCTTAACCATTAGAAGAAAGGACTAACAACAAGTGGTCTCCACAGACAGAGAGATTGCCTGCTTTGTAAATCAAAATCTTGCTGAAGGACTCAAATCACTAAATAAACCGACCATATTTACACTATCGGTCAGATACCTTGTTGACGCTAAAATACATGAAAGCCAAGTGAAAAAATTCCGCATCTCGGTTTTTGCTGGGACGTGGGGAAGTTTAGAATGGGGAGGGGGTGGAGTTCCGAGCGGCCTCTCGAAATGTCTTACGGGACCAGAGTGAAGTGGTCTTAATTGGTGGTGGGTTCCATAGTATCTTGACGGGAGCCGACTCAACCCTACACACCTAGTCAGTCACCTCGTCTCACATGGTTCCACTTATTCCAGCAACAAATGTTCACTGTTTTTGGTCCTTATCTTCACAGTTCCTCCCAACGCTTACTCGGAGTCAGCTTTCTGTGGATCAAGCGCCTGAATCCAGTTCACTCATGAAGGCTTTGAAAGATGCTCCTAATGGACTTCGTGTGCAAGATGACATTTCGCGACAGTTGACAGACGAAGGCTATTGTCTCAGTATGCACCAACCGTGGGCGTCCTTCCTAGTACGAGGATTAAAAAAGTAAGTGATTTATAAAACTTGAGGTGCCTGTTTTAGAACTCCGAGAAAAGCAGTCAGTTGACGGGACCAAGTCAATCTGATTAGGTTGAGCGAAGCGTTTGAAGCTAGTGAGCTATCTGAACAAACCGATTCTGAAAACAGTTAAAGGGCTGAAACCCAAAGCTCGAGCTCAGTCACCTAAATATTAGATGCTGTTGTTTGTGCGGAACGCCTGGACTGTTTAGATCGATCATGAACCGTTTGGTAGTCCGTACGTTCTTGTATACATGGTATCGAAACTAACCCACTCACTCGAAATAGGGAATGTTATTAAGAAAGAAAATCTCCCTATCTCACCTATACCGTGTGGAAATCACAATGGAACAGTGAACAGATCAAACACGATTCTCGCATCTACTTGGAACAATGTTTTACATCTTTTGCAGCACCTAACTCATATCCGGTTACTTCAATGAAATCCAGGTATTAATCTACCCGATGGTTCCTGCAACCAGACCCTCTGACCGTCACAGGTAGGAAGCGTACCTATCGATTGATCTGTGTCCGTAGAATCTGGGCCAAGATGTTCTATGACTAGGGGAATCAAACGCTTTCTTAATAATGGGGTACAGTTATGCACCGAAACTGTCAAAAGAAATGAACAGTGCGGCGTTTACTGTAAAAGCCTTATTCTATAGTCCGGTCATCGATCTGTTCACTCGACTGGGTAATTTGCTTGTCCTAAGAGACCTGCGTAGCAGCAGCGACAGGAACGAACAAAGGCTCTGGTGTACTCCTCAGTAAGGCAGATGTACCAAATGCTGTCCACCAAGAGGGAAAATGTAAGGAAATTGAGGACATAACCGATTATCTTAATCGGTGAGCGAACACCATAAAATGTCAAGACCAAAATCGGGCGCTCATAAGCACGGATATTCCCCACATGTGTTCACTGTCAAAGAATGAAACAAATGAATGAAAGAAATGAATACTGAGGAGATTTGCTGCTTACGTGTTTTATCTTTTTGAAATTATCAATTTTACCAACGATTTCATTGTGTAAGTTAATACATCTCACTGTAGTGACACTCTTTGGGGACCTTTAATAGTTTACCTTTATAATGTACGTTTAACATTCGGTTTTGACCCAAAAGGTCCGCTATATAAACAACAAGGTAGAGTAGCAATCGGATCCCCGCTTAATTCCTTTACCTGTGGTGTTATATTTTGAGCCCCACGGTTCCAACTTTACAGCCTCTACGCTGATGACGCTTTGCTTACTCTTTGATTCACACATCAGTACCCAGGAGCTGCTTCACTCTTCTCATTGAGCCCATTCAACAATACAATTTAGTGACGATAGTGAGATCAACGAAGTTTTCAGCTGTTGCACGTTACTTTGGTGGGCTTTATACAGAGGACACAGTTGAAGAGGAATTGCATTCCATGTCAGGGACTCTAAAAAGGAATCTAGACCCAACTAAATTCGTACTGAGACGCATAACACAGGCTAGTCAAAATCCACCCGAATTCCTGACTGAAACCATCGTATGAGAGCTGAATTTCCTCCCTAAAAAGAACATTTTGTACTTCACAGCTTAAGATTCACTTCAGCAGTGACCAACTTCAAGGACGGTGCACCATTCTACGGGGCTTATTTTGTTACCTGTTGGTTTGTTCGTGCATAGGTCATACGACTCGGCACTCAGCCCAGAGGATGGTTGAGCATCTGTTCCCCTGGCGCGATTGCACCTCGCTTAAGCGATACGAACTACCGGCTGAATAGTTCAACCATATTTATCGAGTGCAGTCCGGTCATTCCAGAGTCATTAGTCAACGGCCGAAGGAATTGTTATTAGTTTGCGTTGTCAAAAACCACAGGTAAAAACATTGGCTCGGCTCTGGCTAAGCAATCGCTCATGTCCGATCGATTCCAACCTAATGATAACCACACCACTAACAGCGTGAGCCTGCATTTTTGCGCTTCTGTACCCTACCTTATTCATGTTCATAGTTGTACCTTCCAGCTGTTTGCAAACAACAGGAACATATGTAACAGACCGAAATCGCTTTCTTGCATCTAGGAACGATCTTCAAGATATCGCAATCATTGCCATGGGGGAGTGCTATGTAGAACACCTTACCCTTAGCGGACTTGGCAGGAGAACTTTGCATTCGGTACGGAGCTGCATGCAGCACTCATATGATTGTCCTGAGGCGCGTAGTGTCTGATTAATCTAATTTTGTAACACCACTCGCATATAGTCGGAGTTAAGAATTTTACTACATCTCTGGACTCCAGGTTCCCCCTTTTGGTAACATCTTCTAGACAAATGCTTTCGAATGTGGGAGACCAATAAACTGGCTATTCGAATAGATAAGTTCAGTTCCCTAGTAGCATGTTGATGCTGGTTGAAATTCACGGAGCAAACAAACACCATCATTTGTTTGTATCATGAACTGCGCAAGCTTGGGGTTAAGATACCGCTATTCTTCGCAAACCGCAGTATGAACGATGTTCAGCACTTTTTCTGATTGGATACAGCTGTTTTAGGTTATATGCGGAATTCAGTCACTGGCTGAAATTACTTTAGTCTGAACGTGACCGCTCTGGATAGCATCGACTAGTCATGCATGATCGGCATAGTGGGCAACAAATATAGAACAATCGTTCAGCTGTGGCACTCTTTCGGCGCCTAACTGCCATGTCACCAGAAGGAAGCAAGAGGGCTAGGATGCTGTTAGGTTGTCCAAGCCTAGACAGGGAAAGTCGAGATGCAGAGGTCGGGTTCGAACCACGGACATTCTGGTTAGTAAATTCGCGCTCTAACCACTGAGCCATCTCGCAACAAATACGCTTACATTTCCGATAAAATTAAAGGCGCTTGGGAACAGTACATTACTGGAGAACCAGAAAGCTGGTGGTCAAGCGAAACGAATACGTTTGGAATTCAATATTTTCCAAGCAACTCTGGTTGGATAAAAGGTAGTTGGAATATATCTTTTGGATTTGGAAATTGCAATGTTCCCACACCGGTAAAAAATGAGGTACAATTACTTGCTTTTGATAAACTGGACCAGCATCTTGTTGTCGGTTTCCATGAAATTCTATTTGACACAGTACTCCTCTAAAAACCCATCATCCAAAACACCTAAGCTGTTTCTGGCTTTGAAGTTGGCGGCTCAGGTAAAGAGGAAGCCAGAATCTAATCCACTATGAAAGCAGGCGGAGCTACTAAATAAATGCGAAGTCAACATTCCGGAAAAATCGCTTGCGGTCTTCTCCATGTCGGGAGAACCATCGTTTGATCTGTGCGGCACAGTTTCCCCGCATGGATCGCCTTCCGCTGGGTGTATGAATCTCTACCCCCGTGATTTCTAGGCACATTCCGTGTTATTGCTATGCGTTGTACTCCGTGATGGGTAACAACGTTCACCCTGTTCTGCTTTCTTACGACTCACAGCCTAGATCTTATCAGCGAAAAATGAACGGTTCTCTAAAAAAACAATGCAGTAATGCTATTCTTCCAAGTCTGATAAATGCTGGACCGCATTTGACCACGGACTTGCCTATCGTGCCTCGACTTGTTTCGAATGAGCAGAACTCAGTCCATCCCGCTCCATTTAATTGGCGGAATGTGAAGAGCTTCCGATAAATTGTGCCAAGTCCTCTTTTCGACGGCCTCGTCGGGCGAGCAGAACTATTGACGTTTTCTGTATCTATACCCGATTAAAAGACAATCTAATGTAAAACTTGCTTCTGTGCGTGGGATTCGTGACTGAGTACTGGCTAACATCAATCTAATGATATCTATCATATGGCTTTGTTCGAAAAGTTACCATTACTGGAAATCCTGCTTCATAATAATACCTATCTCTACGAAACGCTTCATCTACTGCAAGGTTGAGCTCCACTGATGTACGGTGTCAACCTATCCCCTATCATCAGTCACTTTAGGGGCTTTTGCTTCATTGCTCAACCACCCTTCGCGCGCCTAATATCTTTTCTAACTGTGTAGTGTCACACAGGATCGAATGTCATTATGTGGTGAAGTATTCTTACTACACCATTAGGAATAATCAGATGTACCATAGTCATCGTCAGTCTACACGCCAAGCTTGGTGGGTCTGTAAAACAACGAGGCGCCGACATTTAGTACTGCTGTCGCTTCTATCCCTGTGTAGCTGCATTCTGATACCCTATTGACAAGTAAGTTTCAAAATATGACCATCACAAACAGGCTAATTTCATGGGCACCACGGTAAAATCGATTCTCTTGTCAATGTTTCAGAGACGAGGGTCGTGATTGGTATAGTGCACATCGAGGGTGTCTGTGGATCGCATCGACCGCAAAAAAGCCGGATCCCGACGCTGTGGAACAGATGGAACAGGATTACCTCAGATCTGGTAAGTAAAGCTGGTTTGCCTCTGGGATGGGGATCACTGGACCAACTATCTCCAATGATTTGCGTGTGACGGATTCGTTTCCAGATAGTGTCAGGCATGCTGATAAACATTTATTCTCTTTTTTCCTACCATCAGGTGGATTACGAGCTAACCTACCCCAATCCTACCCGACCGGTTGTCTTTTGGGTCGAGTGAATGTAGTGGATGTACTTAGCCAAGAAGACTACCGAACTAGGGTGAGTCAAGAGTTCATAATTCTCTCTACTAAACCGTGAGCTCCAAAAGGAGACTGCCACTAAGAAAGGATAATCTGAGCGTTGCTTCTCTTTGGTGTTATCGCCCGCTGGGTCGTGGCTGTCAGACAACGCTTTTGTGGTCTTTTCTCAAGGTGTTTCTTGGTAATATCCACTCTTCAACCATCCATTCGATGATCCTTTTTAAGCTACTTCTCTCTCTCTGAGGTTTGTATCAAATCGCCGAATCAGGAAATTTCGACTTACCGGGAGTTTGGGGCCGTTTCTCGCTGTAGCTTCTTGTTAACAAATAGCACAAAACCTGAGTGGTGTCAGAAGACAACCAAGCTCCCTTTATCAGGTGTCACTTGCTTTTAGCGACTGAGACTTCTCTAAGGCCTTTTGTTCAGAAACTGCTACTGAATATCAGCTGCAAGGTACTTCGTACTTTTGTTTCACAAAAACGGATTGATATGTCGGTAGTATGAAACCTTCATGGCCCAATGATTCCTCCTCACAAGGGAAACGTTCTCAGGTCGTGACTTCAAAGCTTCTCTTCAACATTTTAACTATTCAACTAGTGGCGGAACGTACACTGTGCCCATGGGCCATGTAATCAAAACCTATTCGTATCAGTGAGTTGTACAGTACTCACGCGGCCAGGCCAACACCGTATTGTTTGAGGGCTATTAGTTTCTATCAAGCTCAGGCTGTACAGAATTCACCTTAATAATCTGAATTCGGACACCCAGCGGGCGGACTTGGACAATTGTCACATCTGAAGAAGTGATTCTCCTTTTGGAGCGCTTATAATGAGTAGATGTATAGCCTACTGAGTTAGGTATGTTGTATCTTCACTCAAATGACCGGAAATTCGCCTGTATATTCGGTGGAGTAGGAACTGATTTTATCTTGCTCAGATGAACATCACTCTGTTCGTTACTCCTTTTCTCCAAACAGCTATCCGAGGATTGTGACTTACTTCACAGTCCACAGCATTATGTGCTTAATTTTCAAAACGCCTGGGATCGGCGTTCCTCCCAATGGCTAGTGACTTGGTTTCCTCCGACACACTGTAACACAGGAGCCTGATGATAAGATCTTTCCTTTACCTTGACGCATTTTTATCCCTCAGTATCTTCCAAACGGAGCAATAACCGACACCCAAACTCTAGCAGATCATGCCATAATGTCGCCGCTTCTCACTGAATTCGATCAACCGCATCCTGCTCATCGGAATCATATTTTCTGCCCAAGCTATGAACTGTTCATCGCATCATAGAATACCTGGCTGAGACAATCACGTTGTTGCCTATGACCGTCAGGCGTCAGCAACTAACGGAAGATTGTTCACTCAACTTGTAGCACAACATAATCTGCATAATCGTGCTGTTACTGCGGTAGCCAAATATGCGGACAAGGTTGACGGACCATGGGCTACCGGATCCCACGAGTGGCAACATCTGATGCCTGTAATATGGTTTACGGGACGAGTAGCGCAACTTTTCGCCAAACTAGGCGATAAATACAGCTTGGTTAAATGAAAACCAGCCCACAAAACGCACAAACACAAAAAGTGTGGGTGGTAGCTTGTTTCCTCCATCGTCAAATAAAAGCGGTGTCCGGCAGGGTATCTTTTTTCCTTATATGTAGGGGACATGCGCCTACCAGATTTTCTCAGTAGATATAAGTGTACTTGCGACGTTGACTAACTGTAGCTATCGAATGCTTCAAGCGCATCTGATGCTGCCCAGTACACTAAATGAAATTAGCTCATTAGGCAAACGATTTCTCACCCTCAATGTCCTAAACTGCTAAGCTGTTATCCCCTCTCCTCTGGTCAAAGTTCTAATGACCTATTAAATAACCGTGAATTCCTCACTATCTTCATTATCCCTTCCTCAGAACTTCTACTTCAAAATATCTAGTAATCCCTCCGCACATCCGAGCTATCTTTAGTAGAGTTCGACGTCTAGCTTTTCGTGCTAGAGAAAAGCAGAGAACGATTCCTGCTTAACCCAGTCTAATTTGCGAGTTGTATCCTCTGTCCTCTTTCTGCGCATCCCTGAGAAAGATCAGTGCTTTACTACCAGATCTCTAAAGAGTCCCTCCATGTGCAATGTTATCTCGATAAATGTCTAAGATGATGTAGTGGTACTGCCGTAATTCCATGTTCGTCCCAAATTCCCAGAGTCTTTCACCCTATCCTCCAGTCACTTACTAAAGCCCCGTCTACCTCACACACGCGTTCTACGCCTATACTGTTGCCTACCAAAACTTGAACCCTCTGTAATTCTGTGGCGAGTTTTCTGATTAATCTTTGTGCCCTGCTTGATAACCCAGCGTCTCACCCACTTGTGCAAAACTTTCGTCGATGGATGTTCCACGCGGTTCTCAATGGCGTGTCGAACTAATTTATCGATTACAGTTGGAAATGAGTGCGGGAAATCCACGTTTGAATGTGTAAAGCTTTACTGCGTTTAATTTGTCCACACCACGATGTCACATACGGTCCCAAGTTCACTCACAAGGCATACATTAGTCACCATAAGGTTAAGGTGTGGCGGCATTGCCGTCATACGTGGGTTTTCAGTGAGGCTGGTTGATAATAACCTTAGGGATGGCGACAAAACATGCCTTGATGTGAGGGGTACGTCGTCAGAACCATTCTTGACGATAAGTATATCTCATCCACTAAGACTTTTCACACCTGATTGACTATGAGTATAACGGTCACAATAGCGTTTTCGGAGCTTGTTTTGCAAATCAAGCTTTTATTTGGCATTAATGGTAGACTCAGTCGTATCCATCGTTCGTGACATTCTTCAGCTGAATGTACTGTACAAAGTCTACCTTACGGTTCATTTGGTATGAAGTATGTCAGTGTTCGGCAACCTTACAAGTAGTGTTATGTCGGGAGGTTTTTTCATATTCTTGGATTTTGCCGTAGTGGAACGCTTCAAGTTGGAAGAATCTCTGTGAAGGTTTTTTCTTACTTGGGGCTTTCATGTTGTATTGGCAGATGATATAAGATCACGGATCGGTTAATGATCACCCGCTACCTTGATATAGTGGTTGGGCTTGAGTGTTTGTAATAATCCTGCAGGTTAAACTGGCTAGAACTACGTTTCTCAAACTTCAGCCAGTCCGGGAAGTCTAAAGGAGACAAAACACAGCAGCCTCCATACTACAGGTCTGTGGTCTAGGGGTAAAGTTGTACTGTCTGTGGTAGAAGTGTGAAGGCGGTATGGTGTTTCCCTCGGATGACCAGCTTGTCCACATTTATGGGAGTAGTGATGCCGCCTTCCCCCGAGGAAGAATGAGTGAGAAAACGTCGGCCCTAAAAGCCGCACCCGTCGATCACTCGAGGTTTGACCGTTACCACCGGGGCATTATTCAATACGGTCGAAATAATTGCTGTTGTTCTGAAGGTATCTGCTATGAGCAATCGCATCCCGAATGGGAGGGCTACGTTTTACTCTTAGTGCCCTCGGGTTGGACAAGTACCCAACAACCAACTGGGTCAACCTAATGAGCCGTTGGCCCCAGGGCGAGTTTTTCTACGAGACCCTAACGTCTGTTGAGTCAAAAGCTACGAGCAAGCCCCCGGAAGGAAATACCCCCACTGTCTTGTGGGTCGGACTTTTAACGTTCACTACCTCAAAGATTCAGTCGTCAAGGTAGCGTACCAGCGGCAGCTGCCCGGTACGGTTAAAATCCGAAGCGCTATGATTTCGGCATTTCACTGCGTACGTCCCGAAACGAGGCTACTGTCCAATTCAACTTAGATCTGACAGCAATCCATATCCCTGATCGTGGCTAAGAAGGCCACCGGTCAGTGAAGATAAAGACGGCTCAAACGTCCATTCAAAGTCCCACCGCCTACTTCTGTGAATGGAGCACGTCGAAGAACAACTCTGCTGGCCTGAGGTGCCCATTGTGACGGTAAACACAGATGAGTTCAAAAGCGCAGTCTAACTTTTGAAGCGAAACAAGGTACTCCATTGTGACTGTCTTCCATCTACCTTGTTTATTGATGGAGTTCTCCGTGGTCTGAAAACTCATGTAGAACGTTTGGGTGATTGAGAAAGTGCCAGAGTAATAACAGATATCTGATATCGTCCCTATTTTAAAGTGTTGGATCTGAATGTGGGAATCTTCGGGATACCAGCTTGCTTGTTAGTTGCTCACTGGTATCCCACGCAGATTTGCTAGCACTCGTGAGGTGCAGAGTCCTGAAAACCCAGTTGGGTTCCGTTCGAGGCGTGGATGTGTTTGTCATGTCTTCACATTACGGCAACTTCTCGAACACCACCTTGCATACGGAAAACGAACAAGTGTCGGCTTCTTAGATATAAAAGCAGTATTCGACCTAGTCAGCCGCGCTGCTTTGTGGTGATCTGTCATAGGTGCACTGAATATTTTCATCACACTGGTCCATGGGAGGAATATTGGAAACAATGGACCGGTTTACCCATCCAGGCAGTCGTATCATGTCAGATGGCAGCGTCAATGGCGAAATGAATGCTGGTGTCGCTAAATCCCGTTTTCCTGTATCATAGGTATCGTTGGGTCGATGTGAAATTAGCCTGTCAATGAAAGGTGAGGTCTACAAAACAACAGTACGTCTAGTGCTGCTTTACGATTGTGAAGACTGGTCTCTGAATTGTCTTTGGCCATTGACACCTTCCAAACGTTATGTATGTATTATGGGAACAACGAATTAGCAATGCCAAAGCTCGACGATTGGTTTCCGGTATCTAATCAGCTGGTTGTCCAATTAATGGGCTGATCCCGCTGCACCACTATGCAGCCGGCCATGTGCTATGTATGCCAGGTGATTGATTACCTCGTCTGCTGAGGCAGGTTCCGATTGGAGGGTGCTGCGTACGACCAGAGGACGGAGCATGAAAAACCTGACGAAAGGTGTTGACCGGAGCGGTGCACGTCATCTGCGAGGTTGGGTCATCAAAGACCCGCGTAAGTGGTTGGAAATACTCACTAACATGACGATGCCACGCAAACAGTGACGGTGTTTTGTATCTAATTTATTGTTGTTAATCGTAAGCCCACCGGTTTCCTCCATTTTTCCCATATCCTCTCTATCCTACACTACCTGCTGTCGCAAGATGCGTCAACCCGAACCACCTTACATATATATGATTCACCTCCTGTACTGAAGTGAACTGAGCGCAGTTGTGCTCACTACTGCACAAGGTCGTTACTCGGTCCAGTTGCTTGTCCCTTCCCCGTATTACGAAGTTTGGGACAGCTCACAATATGAGCTTTGTTCTTGTGTAGGTAACCTGGAAACAGACTTCTTTCGAGCTGCACGAGATATATTCAGAAAAAAGCTTCACAGTCAAACAATTCGATTTTGTTTCATCCATCTTGTTTATTTGCAGTTTCCTGACGGACCCAGTGAAAGTCCTTACGTATTCGTCTGTAATGACCCTCACGAACTGCTATTAAAACTGCCCATCAGTGGGAAACACAAAATATGTAAGTCCTGTACTTTGATCCTAACAATATGAACTTTAGATAAACTCGAAAAGCACATCCACACAGCAGCGGTAAAAAATCTGGCATAATCATACACTGGAACGGGGTCGGATGATGATTGTGAGAAAATTCCCCGAGATTATTGTACAGCTCTTTATTTTGAACTGACTTGCATTAAATTCTTTTCAATTATTGTCTCGATTTCCCGATTGCACGGCTACTGCCAATGGAGTACATTTCAGTTACAATCGAACGTCGCACATTCTTTCTCTACTACCAATAAGCTTGATCATCTATCCCAATAGTCCCGGTGTGGAACGTATATATTTGAATCCAATATCCTTCTTCCCCCATAGCTGGCTTCGACAACTCTTGTAAGGTAGGGATCTTGTCACACTGCTTAAAACCAACTAGGGATTATAGTCAGTCATCCCAGATGTGATATCGAAAATTAGCATAGACAATGGATTGTCATGATTCACTCCTCTTCAGCGAATGCAGTAACAGCCTACTGCTAACCTACAGATGTAACTGATCCGCGTCCGTAACAACCAAAAACACCTGTTTCTGAAAACTGGATTGACGTTTCGACTGAGAGGATTGAATGGATGACCGAACATTTTCAGAACTTTGTATATAATTAACAATATGCCATAAGAAACATTCACAAAACGAAAAAGGACAATCAGTATTCAATACTTCAGCGGGTAGCTCGAAATGGACAGAGCGACCGGGATAAGTTCCATTATTTTTATCATCATCAAGTGTGCAAAAATAAATCTTCAATGAGGACTTTTCTCCTCATCTATGCGTAGTTTCATACAAATTCGGTAGAGAGCTAAGGCTGAGCGACCGGCGTCCTGGTGTTCCTGAACGACTGACCACGTCTTTGTGTTGAAGCAAATCGCAGCCCACATCCAACTGTTCTTGACATTCCTTAAAACGCTGAACTATGTCATGATAGTCTGCGTCCTGACGGTGGTAATCTGAAAGCGCAGCCTCCAGTTGTTCCACCTCTGTCTTGATCGCTAGAAATTCAGCGTCTAACTCGGATCTGAAACACAGAACACAACTTATCCAATGGATGCATCTGCATGTGGGCAAGCAAATTCATGTAGTAAGTGAACTAATTGGGTTTTGATTTCAGTACATTTTTGTGTTAGAGATATGAACCTATTACCGTAGTATCTAGATGTGTAGCTCCGACAGATTTCAAAGTACGCATGGTGAAATAGGCCAGATGCAAGTGAACACTTTCTTCTAATATCGCTTGAACAAGTGATCCCCATAACACGATATCGTTTCCGCTGGTTCAACGGGTCAAATATTTGATATTAACCTACAGATCCGAACCTACCTAAACGTAACGCACATTCTTGCTGAAGCGTGAAATCACGGAAAATACGATGTGAAACCGTCTCGATAGGAAACATAAGCTGCTAGTGGTAAACCGTCAAAACAATGGGCTGTACGAATAGGCCATTCGATCTTCAGGTTGCTATGCGTTTTCGCGATATCTGATTTGTCTCTCGATCCAAGGACCATGTAACACGAAAAGTTGCGTTCGGTAGGTTTCTACCAAACCCGAATGTATGACGCTGCGCACCCAAGCATATTACACATCAACCAATCTGTTCAGCATACAATCAGTCACTCCATAGTACCCATTTGTGGTAAGGACGATAAAACTGGTATTGGTATGCAGCAGATGTATAGTGGTTTGAGTGTCCGGGTCTCAACGAAATACCGCACGGGGATTTGGGATCCAACAAAAATGTTCGAGATATCTGACAACACTGATCGGCACTAATCGGCTCATAGTCTACGAAGTTTGCTTAATTTGTTGCTTAACTTGTACAGCTCGGTTTTATTAAACGGCGTATTGGTTCGGTGTTTTGCCGCGGTTTGCCCTCAAATGGAAGCCTACCGAAGGGTTCATCCAGTGAATTAATGGACAGTTGTATCGTGTTATCACCATTACGCACACCGTGGCTCCAACCAATGTAGGCATAGCAACTTCAATGACTAGGACTGTGCAGGTGTTCCCAAGCATCCCGCAAACGCGCCAATGATCACCACATGTTCATCGTATCTGCTTATGCTCCCAATAGACTGTAGCTCTGATGCTTTCGAAGGCAATTTTTACGATGCCCTGAATGGCCTACTGCGGCAGACTAGGAGCTCAAATACTGTTTGGGTTGTCTGAGATAAGAATACGCAAGTAGGTAAACTCAGCGCTGCTGAGGTCCAATTGGGTGACCGTTCTGGATTGGAATATAGAAGTACGAACGACGTCCAACGCCTGCTGCAGTTACGTGCCGAAAACCGACTGCTTCCGCATGGTACTGGATTCCGAAGCCGCTTGGCCACATGTTGCATCTCGCGTGCGAGCCAATCTTCAACACAAAGAGACCGCGTCGCCACTGGCTAAAGTGGCGTGGGTTACTCGCTGAATATCACTTGTTCTTCAGAAGCGTGCAAGACGTGCACACATCGGCTGGCCTCTCGATCCCGACGTGAAACAATTCTCCCAGAACCACTTATTGAAATCCTTCTCGGACAACACATCTGATTTTGATTTTTACCGAGAACTACTCGCCTTAACCCGGCAAGACGGTGGGTGCTCTACTTGTGAAAGGGGGCAATAAAAATTACTCGACGATCAGACATGTATTTCTCCCGGTCCAGAGCACACTACCACTACACGAACTGTCAGACTTCGAGTGATAAAGAACATCTGTGTAGATCGAATAGCTTGGTGGATCTGGAAAACTGAAGAGACAAGAGACGAGAAACTCTGGTAATGTGTGTAGACTATCCCAGCTGATATGCGCAACAGCAAAAAACACCAAAAACGGCTAGGTTATCTGTAAAAACTGTTGGAGTGAACACGATCAACAACTTAAATAGCCACATACAGTTGCTCAGCCCTATTCGCGAACCGCAAATAAGCCTTGGATAGTGAGTATGGAATTCCGGACGGCTTCGGAAATAAGCGATTACCTTTTCTCCCTCAAACGTCACTGAGCCGCTGGTCCAGAACAACTCCCGCCCACTCTTCAAAGATGGAGGTGAAATACTCAGTTGGTGCTTGTCTAACTTATTTGCCTCTATCTGGATAAAAGAGACCGTCCCAACCAACAAAGGTAAGTCGACAGTGGTGCCCATTTTCAAAAAGAGGCACTCACAGTGAGTGTGGCAATTATAGAGGAATTAGCTTGAGCCTTGTAACTACTCTTTGCGTCGCTAAACTCCCGCCCTTCAAAGATGGAGGTGAAATACTCAGTTGGTGCTTGTCTAACTTATTTGCCTCTATCTGGATAAAAGAGACCGTCCCAACCAACAAAGGTAAGTCGACAGTGGTGCCCATTTTCAAAAAGAGGCACTCACAGTGAGTGTGGCAATTATAGAGGAATTAGCTTGAGCCTTGTAACTACTCTTTGCGTCGCTACGTCATCTTACAAAGTTGTTTGAAGACGGGACCCGAAAACAGCAAGCAGGATTGCGGTTGAGAGGAAGTTGTGTGGATCACATCTTCACACTCCGTCAGGTGTTACAGCAACGACATGCATATAAGCGCCCCATAATGTTGGTACTCCTTAATTTCAACAGCGCGTTCGATTCTACCGACCGGCTAGTTCTTTTCAACACGCTCGCGCGAGAGTATATCAAGCGGTGTTTCTATTCACACACTTGTAGGCGCGTGAGGGTGTATGGATAGCGCCCCAAAAGCTTTCCTACAAGCAATGGTGTCCGATAAGCATGTTTACTCTCTCCATTCTTGTTTAATTTCATCGCTGATTGGATAATGCGGCAAACTTTGGAAGGTCTCCAGAACCCAGATGTTCAGATCTCTCCGAGCGAGAACCTTGTTGACCTGGAATATACAGATGAAATTCTCATTTTTGAAAAAAATAGCAGGAAGCGCAAGTATAACGTGAAAAGCTGGTCAGTGTCGTCCAGTTCCCCGGCACTTCCTTCGCGCCCACGAAGAAAAAGTCGTACTGCGGGAAGTACTATGATTGAAGTGACACTGGAATCTGTAGAACACAATGAATATTTCGGAAGCTACATTATCTCCAATGGTCAACGCACGAATCTCAAAAGTTAGAACTGCGTTTGCCAAATTGTACAACTTTTATGGAACAACACGCCATATATCTTAGCCCCCAACCTGGAGGAGCAGGAGGCCGTGTTGGCCAGACCTCTAACCATTGACCAAACTGGTATGAGAAACTCTGTGAGCGTCGCACGCACACTCACACGCTCAATGGGTCACGGAGGCATACAAACCGTCACACCACGGTAAGGTCCAATATCTTTGTGACAGCTTCTGGGATTACTGATTATTCGTCGTCTTACGGTGGCACGCAAAACCCTGAATCATGGGAATCAAGCGGGAGTTCGACCGGGTAGAGGTTGTGTTGACCAAATCTTCACACTACGTCAGGTGTTAGAACAACGCCATATGTACAGATGATTCACAATCTTGGTGTTTCTTGACTTTAAGCGTTCATCGGATTCTGCCGATCGGTCAGTGCTGCTAACTACACTTACTCAAGAGAACATGCCCAAGAAGTTTGTGAACATAATCCGATCTCTATATTCACATGCGTCCGGGTATATGGAGCATATGATAAGCTCCTCAAAAAGCTTCTCTACAAAAAGTGGTGTGCGACAAGGGTGTCCACTCAATTCTTGTTCAGCTTCGTCGTCCGTGAAATAAGGAGGCGAACGCTGGAACGCCTTCAAAACCTCGTATTCCAAACTGTTGCTGGTGAGAACCTTGCCGAGCTGGTGTACGCGGACAACATCATCCTTATCTCGAAGACGAGGGCGAAACATGTGGAGAACCTTGTATATTTCGGTAATTGTAGTAGCTCTGATGGAAGTGTCTGATGAAGCCGGCGCATGAACCTCAAAGGCCTAAATCACGTTTGCAAATTCACGTCACCTGTGGCGTCAGAACGACATATTACTGGGTCTCAAGGGTCGTGTGTACCATGCTATAGTAAGGGCTGTGCTGTCGTATGGTTACGAAGCACGACCTCTGCAGATAGATGATGTGAGGCATCTTCAGGTTTTAACCACCGATTCCACCTTCCTTCAGAATGGCGCAAAATGCGAAATGGGCAACGTAGAACTTGCTAGAAGGGTGTGAAAGCGATTACGAGGAGTTCAGCTGTTGTTGATGCGTTCCGCCTTCCAAGGAGTCTCCATAACCTCTCTGCGCCTAACTAGATGCACTGCAAAAGATGGCGGTCCATCGATGTTTGTGGCGTTCGTGCTGTCAGTTTCTTTCCAGATTGTCTGATTGAGCACTCGGGGGTGTGGGAACCTTGGAATGCTTGCGATAGGCCAGCATCAAGTCCTATCCTTCACCCATTCTTTTCTCCTATACTATTCTAAGGCTTTTAATATAATGGGACAAACTTTATGATTGTATGGCAGTGGATAACAATCATCATAATAATCGTTCAGCTGTAACACCCTTTCGGTGCCTAACTGCCATGCCATCCGAATGAAACACGAGGGCTGGGATACTGCCAGGTTGCCCAAGCCTAGAGAGAAGTTGGGAGGCAGAGCCCGGGTTCGAACCACGGACCCTCCGGTGAGTAAATTCGCGCTCTAACCTCTGAGCCATCCCGCCAACATCAGTTGTGTTGCCCCTAGCCAAGGTGAATTACAAGAAATAATCAAGCTAGTGAAGCACAAAAGTCCAAGACGAGGACAGTATCCCGTTGGAAATCTCCAGTCTGACTGCCAAGTCGTTGGACATCTTCAAACACTTTTCTGTTCAATATGGGAAGCCGAAATGTTTCCGGCAGGTTGAATTACGGCCATACTGCTGCCGATATCAAAAAGGCACCAGAAGTGTTTTGTGCGACTGACTTCGGAATCGGCCTCATAGATGTCACAGCCGAAACCTTTACCAGAATACTCCTGCACCGCCTCAAAGAAGCTAGGGAGTCTTATTAGAACAGCTCAGGGTGGCTTCCGGTTAGAAAGCGGTCGCGTTGACTAAGTACTCCAGCAACCGATCACTACCAGCTTCATTGGCCTCTGTGCCGCATTTGACTCACTCAATCTGGAATGCCTTTGGTCTGTCTTGAAACGTTTGCTGATTGGACTGTTAATAAATGGTGGAAAAAAATTCTATCACAAGCATGGACGTCCGGCCTAGCCCTAACCGAGACCTCATAAGCCAAGTCGATTCCTTCAGACATTTGGGCTCCATCTAACAGATGTCCTGTGTAAAAATAAATAACTAGTTTATTTTTCAGAAGCTGTATGGTCTATTTCATTTCATGCCCACATATTGACTAACGTGAGTTTTCAGTTTTTTAAGGATCGGCAGAATTTATTCTAATCAGAGGAACAAACAAGAACAAAGCAAATAGTCGAGGAATAAATATACGCTCACCTAGTCTTCCTCAAATAGTTCGACGTATCCGACGGTTTCCGGGCTTCGTGTTGGACCGTGAGGTCCATGTGAACCACCTGCGCTAACAGTGACTCTGCTTGTGTCAGTAGCACATCTGCCGTATGTAGGGTTACCTTGGGTTGGGTCTTTGTACGGATATCGATGAATAAATGAGATGCGGCGGTGCACAGAACAGAGATCGCCTGCGTACGGTGAACCAAGCTATTTCAAAAAGGGATACACCTACCTCGATAAACTCCGTTTGAATGCGACGAAGTCGGACAAGAGCGTCAAGTTTTTGCTCCTCCAGTAAAGTAAGAATATCGTAATCCTCAGCTATGATACAGTGAAGGGGTTGCTATTGTGATCCCTTACCACTCAGATGCGTGAAGATCAGTTCCAATCGCTGATTAAGTTTGTCATTCATTCGTGACTGGAAGATGGCGACATGGTCTCTACTAAGGTTGGCGGAGAGACCGCCAAGTGGCTGAAAGGGATTCGACCTGGGGTCAGGTTGGTGCATTTGCAAATGAGCTGAAGTCCAAGCATCCGATAGTTGATTGTAGAGCTCGTTTTCCTTAGTTGAGAGAAAACCCAGTTCCGAGTCATACGCCATGTCGAAAAGCAGTTCTTGAATGAGTTGGTACTCAACCTGTTTGGGATTAAAACGTTTGCGCGTCTGGTCCACACTTAGCTAATGGTGTTAAATCAAGACAGTAGTGAACGAAACAAACCCGGGTATTCAAGTCTCGAATAGTTCGTAGTTTATCATCCAGCGACATCTTCAGTTGAGGCAGATCATATGCAGGGTCGCACTAAGAGTAACTGAAGAAGACATTGGTAACAGCATGGAATAGTTGAGTGGCAACCTTTTTGATTGAGCACGGACTAAAAAAATGACGCAAAATGAAGCGACCGAAATTCCGGTCTCTAAGTCAACGCCCGGTGAGAAACCATTTACCTCACGTTTATGACACTGCATTAGCTATTCCATCCAGATAGGGAAGACAAACTGCTAAAAAGTCTTGACGATTCAGTTGTCCCTATCCTTTAGAGAGACCAAACGAAAGACTTTACCCTACTTCATTCCATACCCCGATGCGTGCATTGATTTTCAGGAATCTGGCGGAATTGTGCCGATGTTAGAGCATGTCTTCGTCAAAATATCTCACAGGATACCAATTGCCCGGTGCGTCATCATGTCTACAGATTTTATCTACCGTGTACAAAACCATACACATTTAAATACAACTGTCTATGCCGTCCATCAATAGTGCATTCTGATTTCCGTGCACTTGGTAGACGTGTTTCAGATACTCCGAACCGCAAGGCATTTTAAGTGAATTTCATCACGCGGAGCAGCAGCAAATTTTGCTTCTGCAAAATGTTGCTTTTTCTAATCGTTTTAATGGGTTTCCAACGAACTTCCAGCAGTAAGTACCTGGAAGGGACCGTTTGTCCTGCTGTTATTTCTAGAGAGGATAAAATTGTGCACACGGAGCAACATCCTTAAGCATGGTTCTCTCCACCAATGCTAACAGCTGATACGCGGCTTTGTTAGAGACAATGGGAAACACAAGCGCCCTATTGGCATAAACTAAGAAAAACGGCTCCTCTGAGACCGCAAAGGTATTCATCATGGCTCAAACATTGTGCATGTATATCCGCATCCCCCTTTTGACCAGTCATTGTGCTCCCTGTTGCTTCTGGTTAGCTCGTGCCAAAGAAGTACCACTACAGACCCTAGGTTCGCTTTTATTTTGGCTCGTCAGTAATGCATACATTCAAACAAGAAATTGTTCAAACAGGGTAATTCAGGCGCTGGCACAGTGGTCGCACATAGTGGCTCGCGCATCAGGTCGTCGGAGTTCTGCCCCGATAAGACCGACTGCATTTATGCGCTTTAATAAGGCGGAATATCAGTTTGTTGCTTTATTTTTTTATTATGCACCGACTAGAATTATCCCGCCTGGATATCAAGAGGACTTTTCAAGTGGATTAGCTGTCGATAAGATTCCAACGGATCCCGAACCCACTCGTGAGTACCCTCTAGGCATATACAGTGAAGTACCGTAGTACGTTCGGAGAAAATCGGCTGCTGTAAGTCTTGGCCGGTATGCGAGAAACAGACTAAAAAATTAATAATAACGATTTGGAATGCTCGAAACGAACACTTATGTGGTACCCAAATGTTTGCACCGTAAGACCACTTTGCACCTCATTCAAATATACGATTCTTCGGTTTCTCTTATGTGGTTAAGCTCGCCTGTCAAAAACTGACTTTAAAAAAGCAGATTGATACCGGTGCGCGTGCTTTGTTGTGCAGAACGTGGCAAACAAAAGCGGATATTGTCTCATCCTAGGTATCCAACAGATCCAGATCCTAGACGGCCCGTAAGAGCTCCCCACATTTCCACTCAATCTGCCGATCGTCTCCAGGCTAACTCGTTTGAAGTTTAACTCAGTGGTCAATAGTTCCAGGTAGTGCACGGGGCCGGAATAGGTGAACGAACTACGCGTTTTCATTAGTCGGCTATCGAAAGTTTTACTGGTTTGACTGCGATATAGTATGTTTCGTTGTGTTGTGAGGAACTGTTTGGGACTCACTTCCCCTTGTAACTCCGTCAACCACGTTACCCCGCGCACTTTGGTCCACTCGCCTACGAATGGCTGCATATTACTAGACGTTCCTTGTTTGTCGGCTTCGTGTCAATATAATCCCTCAGGGTACTCTGCCTAAACACGACAGTGATAACCAAGTGAGAATGGTAAAGAACAGCACATATACAGTGCCAAAATATCTGATGTAAAAACAGTTAGAACATCAACAAATGAAGCAAAAACCAAGAAGACAAGGGATTCATCAGATATAATTTTCAAATCCCGTATGTACAAAGTGGAATTTCATCTTTGTTGTTATCAGGACACTGATTCGGGAAGACTGGTTGAAGAGATTAACCCGCTGCGAAGCAGCTCTTCAGTGTTTGGACGTGGTTCCACGGTATAGGCACACAAAAGATACCCACCCGACGCTAACATGGTCACTTCTGGGTGGGTTCGATCTGGGAGCACCTGGATAGTGCGAAACCATGTGTCGGTGAGGCGCAGCTGTGTCACTCCACCCCTCTGCTTTAACGCGTTGTACAGGTCAACCAAGGGCTGAAGCGTAAACATATCACAATTCACTGGAAATCCCACGTGGAAAAAATAATGTCTAGCAGCATAGCTGTCACATTCTTTAAAGCCTGAACCTGGGATGTTATATACTATTCTGACTATTTTGTGCAATTTTTCTTTTTCACCACTTAAAATCAAAACAAACAAATATAAACAGCAAGAATACGTACTTCAGTTATTAAAACTCGGCAGTGTCAATGGTTTGGCGATTTGTTTTTAGTAGTTGCAGGATTTGGTGGAATTTTATTCACATCACTCCCGCTTGGTGGTTGTGGTTGATCCACATCAAATAAGTAGACTAGAGTCTCATTTCCATTGGAGCCCAGTATCCTTGGTTCTGCAGCGATCTGATTTTCAGGCAAAGTAACTCTCCCTCAATAGATCAGCCGGTCACACCCCATAGGCTACGCTGGTTAGGCCCTATGCTTCGTATACCAAAGGACCATTTCCCACACTTAGCTTTCTCCGCCCAACCATGTGTCGGATGAAGACAATCTAGGAGCGGTAACCTGGTAACTGTCGTCTCCCCAGATGGGGAATCCCCTGACGAAGTAAACTCGTTAATGACCCTGACAGATACGGCTGTCACAGAGCCAGCAGCAATCCTGTATCAAAACTCTCCCTACCATACCATTTAGCGTCAAACCAACTGATTGAGCCTCCAACCTCCAACGCGTGGCTCTCATTTTTTTATTCTCCTTACCCTCGGTGGACGAAGCTGTAGCGGCTGTACTTCAGTACACCGTTTGTAGCTGAAAAAACGACAAACATTAGACTTAAGAGGCTAGTCTGTGGTGTTACTTCACTAGTCCATGCTGGACAACCGAACAACACGATGAGAATAGTCATTAAGTCGTAATTAAAGTCATCTATAAAACCAATCTCATTGCTTGGGCGTGAACATCATAATCTGTTCAGATGTGAGGATTCTGGTGCGTCCGGCGTCACCTGATAGATCAGTAATAACAAGATCGCTTTGTATGTTGAATGTCCGGAGTTCAAGATGCGGCATGGCCAAAGACGAGCTCTGACAGAAGCGGGACTACGCTTTGGTGATGACCAACAATAATAAGTGTGTCAGTACAGAAGCAAGACTATTCAAACGAGAGTGACGCAACTGCATACTTAGGAATTATGACTAATCTAGATGGATAAGCAGCATTGACTAACCTGAAGAAACTGCGAATAGACAACGACAGGTCTACCGAGAGGAAGAAACTGCATCAAGAGTAGAGTCATATCGACCGGGTGGAACCTCGTGGCGACGATCAGAGCATCTGCAAGTATGGCGTTCGGACCAACTAGAGTTTCATAAGCGGTCTGTTTCTTAGCCAATCTAGAAGCTCTACGGAGGCTGACTGACTCATCGTAAATCGAGGACGCAGAACACGATAGTTTGGACTTCTTGCTGCTGGGTCCAGTGACCCCTGCAGCAATGGACTCAGAATTCACTTCGGAATCGGCGACCAGTTGATCAGCTAAAAAAAGATGTGAATATGATTGCTGTTCGAGCTGCAATGAGCACATCAGAGCTTTCAGAAAACAACTAATTTTATTTGAAATATCCGTTCGTGCTGCCATTTTGTGAAGTTGTACAACTCTAGTTGTGATGCCGAGGCCTATTTAAAGGTGCGACCCAAAAGTTCCTCTTCAAATTTGTTTAATCTTGATGCTGCTGGTAGGACCCGTGGAATAAATGGCTCCATCGCACGTTCAACATCCGCCCTCACTTCGATTGACAATTCTATCGTCCCTCGAGAAAACAACCGACTCAAGGTTTTAGAACATACAGGAAACCATAGCGCCACTAAACTCCTGCTTATTTCGGCTTCTTGGTGGAGTGGTGTTCACTGATAGGGAATTCGATTCTAAACGGTCGGTCAACCAAGACAGGTTAAGACTGAGGCCAGACCGTTACAATCATCGAATAAGGAGATCTTACCAAGGTGCTTACAAGAAAGTGTCGACTGACATCAAACACGTGCAGAACCTCTTAGCCTACATACAAAAGATGAAGGAAACTAACAGAGCGCATGGCAATTTAGATAAAATTGTACTCAGATTTCTACTGTCTAAGTTAGCCCTCCCCGCAGCACGGTTCGCATAGCCAGAACGCGCAAACTGGAACCAACTTGAAACGTGGGAAACTGAACTACTCACTGCAGAATGCGCTCAGTTCGTTCAAGAGCCGAAGGAAAATAATTCCGGGTGAGTCGAGGAAGTGCTAGATGTAGCAGCCTTGACAGGACATTCGTTCATCCCTCAGTGCTAATAAAGGACAACTTTTCAAGTGTGAGGAATATGTCAAACCGATAAGTCCAAGCTGAGTTCTATTATTCTGCGGACCCATTGGCTAAACGTCCGCTCGGACAATCCACGTTTTCCACCATATGTGGGAAATCCACTGGCCCATCAACCAAACATCTATGACTAGCGCGACTGAAGTTCATAATTTGTTGTATAGCTTATTGACTGTCATTCTTTGTTAGCAGAGTCATTGATAAATCGATGTAGGTAACTGAAATCCGTCCAACACCTTGCAGGAGGACATTACACATATATATGAATACTGGGCGCAAACAAAACAAGGCACCAGATGAAGCATTGGCGCATTAAAAGTGAACAGCGTGGAATTGAT